ACTACTAACTTGCCGTATATTATTATGCCACTGCTCAAATAGAATTGAAGCTTCATTTCTGAATTCATTTACTGAAAAGTTTTTCATGCACCTTTTGTAGTATATATTCTTTTTCGCAGGAAAATTAAATTGATTTTCTATTTTACATATAATAGGGTAATGATCTGTCATGCCACAGTGTACTACATATGTGAAGATATTGACGCCAAGGAAATTGGAATAAAAATGATCTATAAGAGTTTCAGTCGAGTTGCTTATACGCGTGGGTTGATTCAGTTGACCAGTGATTCAGTTGACCAGAGGTTAAATACCCTGACGTATATGAATATCTCATCAATACACCTGGAATATATACAAAAGAGGCCATGAAAAACAGGAAGAGTTAGGAAGCATACAAAATTGAACCGTTCCAGCGTTCGGTGTACAAGCTATTAAAAATTTGACAGTTGAATGTTTTTTGTGATTAGAGTATACTTGGTCTCGGGCAAGTAATCGTTTCGGTCTATTGATAAATATTTCACAGTAGTCTATGATGCCAATCTTGGGGAGTATTGTCGAAAAAGTGGTGGTAGTATTTTAATATTTGCTCCACAGTCCAACAAATCAGAAACGACTTTCTGTTTTGGATTAAATCAATCCAGCACCAGAATGCGTTGTCGAGATTTGATTTAGACAAATCAAATATGTCTGCTATTAAAATGTCCGTTTAAGCGTAGTTTCATAAGGGTCATGAGCATTTGATCCACATATTATTTCATTTTATAATAGCACGGATCTGGCAAACAGTGGCAGTGGAAATTGAACATAACATCAAATGTTTCTACTGGTAAACCAGTATAGTAAATGAATTACTTTGGCTTTTAGCTCAAGTTCTTGTAACTAAAAATGTTAAAATTTCCTAGTTTTTCCACTGCCTCATTTCTCTCCATTTTAAGCTGCAAAATTTTTGCCTCGAAGTTTTCTAAATTAACTGATTTGTCTAAAGCTTCATCTTTCTCCTTTCTGATTCGTGAATTTTTCTCCTCGAGTAACTCCAATTGATTTTCTTTGGCGGTTGCATTTGACTCACTATGAAATGAAGCTGCAGTATCGACTGGTTCTAGTCATAGTCAAGTTTATTTTTTCCCATTCAGTAAAAAATAACATACGAAATTAACAAAATACAAAACTGAAAACACTGGGGAAGGGAAGTAGCGGGGAACCAGGAATGGTTATCGAGCAGCGACACCCGAGGTTCAATATCTAACTTTACTTTTTTAAAGAAATTACGTTATTAGAACACTTTTAATATGAATGACCAGGCTTTGGCAGCTAAACCACACATAACATCACAGTGACATGAGACTACCATAAATAGTACATGGCAACATCTCTAATCGAGCCCACCATAACTTATGGGATTCCCCGATTGACAGGCACTGAAGTGTGTAAATTGATTGAGGTATACTAGTTGCTATGGTAACGTGAAATTCAAATCGGTCGAGTGGAGCAGTTCAGGCCAGGCATTGATAAACACATGATGAGGTGATAATGAAGACAGGTAATATAAGTCTAATAATAATATAAATAGAATAACCAGATCAATGATGTACTAAGGTAGACGAAGTAGTGCACCGGTGCGGTACCGTACCGGTACTATGTGTAATCAGTCATGCAGAGGTGTGATACATCATTGTATACATATGAATACACCCACACACAAAAAAACATTCCGAGTCAAGTTGTTAAAAACATCCAGAAAAAGTCGACATGAAAGTATTCTTTGAATTGGAATGTGAATAAGGCAACAACATGCCTTGTTCAGTCTTGAACCAGAATAACCATAGCTCAAGACAGTATTTTAATTTCACTGTTTAAAAGTGGACTCAATAAAGATAAATTCGATATTATTCATTTGTCATAGAAGAAGACATAATACTCATTAGGTCAGCAGGTTGGTGCAATAACTTTTTTTTATTTCCAGGTGGTGGTATGGTTACAGCAACAAGAACATTCAATTTGTTGCAAACATTCGAAGTAAGTCGACAAGAAATTTCTTTTCATGACTGATTTGGAAAGTTGATAGGATATCGATATGCATCATTTCTTGCACTTTTTGAAAAAATGATGAAATTCAACTTTTGCTTGGAATATCCCAATACACTGAAAGAAATGTTGACATCAGCACCAGTCTTATCGTACCCAGACTCATCGCTTGCATATGTTGTGGACACTGATGGCCTATACCAGTGTTTCCCAAACTTTTTTCTGACAGCGACCCCTTAGACGACTTTTTAAGTAGCAAACGCCCCCCTGACAAAAAAGTCGAAGCAACTTTATTCTCCATTTATCATTAGTATATTGTGAAAGTTGAGCCTGGTGAAATACCACCAGCTTGATAATATCTGGCTTCATTTCAGTTGAAAACAGTCTTGAGTCTCGTCTGACACTATTAAGGGAATCTCTCTTGACATGTAAAAGTGCGGTCACTGCACTAAATACACGCTCCACCATGAATGAGCTGGCAAGAGCAATTAAAAAACTTTTGACGGGTCTCACACGTGGGGATATTTCAATTTGATTCTGTTGCAAAAAAAGGAACACTGAAAGACTTGAACATGGGTTTGAAACTATAAAACCAGTAACCCAGTATAAACCCATAAACTTCTGTTTGCGTATGATCATACTTGGAAGTTTTGCAAAATTTTCAACCATTCACTTATTTTTCTGCCGAAGCGCACCTTCTGCTGTTGGGACATGAAAATTAAAGTATTCAAACGGTGAATACAGAACATTACGTGGTTGTGCCAAGAAAAATCAGGACATGATTTGAGGGATTGATAGAGATTACCAGCAGTAGTTTCAGCATGACCCCTCATATATCAAATCAGACGCATCAATGGCATCCCGTGGGAACCTTAATTATCGGAATGGAACCTCTCAGATTCTGATATGTAAGATGTTCGAAGGACAATTCTTAAACGATTGGTAAACTCAAAGCTGCAATTGCAGAAATAAAATAGAGAAAAACCCAAAGAAGAGTGATTGACAATGTTCCAAGAAGAATGCAATTTTTTTTAATGTCGAGAAGAGCATTTGGAACATCAACATAATTTTCGTGCAAAACGTCCTAGATTCTCCGACACTTTCAGGTACAAACATACGCACACAGAAGTTCAAGTGTAGACAAAATGAAACAATTCACTCCATTTCGTAGAAGTAATCGAGAAATTGATGGTTCCGTTTTTTGGGATCACGCTGTATAATACTGTTTTTAATATAAATCAGTTAAAAATGCTGCTTAAGCGAGAAGTTTCCAACACCGAAATCACAAGCAAACTTGTTTGAACCAAAACATAGGAGTAAATGACATAAATTATCACACTTCTTGCGAGCTCCCGTATTGATGTCAGCGCCCCCCGATTGCCCAAATCGCCATCAGCGCCCCCCAAGTTATCGTAAACGCCCACAAGGGGGCGTTTTCGCCCACTTTGGGAACCGCTGGCCTATACCAATACTCTTGACGACCAGGTTGCACTCCCAAAAAGACGCTGTTTTTTTTTTGTGATATGTTGCAAACAGTGTGGAACAATAGATGCACAGTACGAACAGATGTACAGTACCGCAGTACGAACTGATGCACAGTACGGTTTTCTGAAATAACACGAAAACAAATAAATACACAAATAGTAACAAGATTGGGGCAGTATCAGTAGGCCTATACTATACTAATGTAAACATACTTAAATATCATTATTACGTCACACAATCACTTTAAGACCAAATATGGCATCACTGACGAATATAAAAAATAAACACAAAAGTTGACTCTGCCGGCAAAACAAATACAGACCATGTACAACTTCGAATACAAAACTATATGTATAAACTTACTTGACGTTGTGTCCTCAAGAGTTAACTTGAACATTGAATCACAATAACTTGCCTGAATTATTTATCAATATTACAATGACAACTGTGAGGAATATCAATAATACACTATTATTAGTAGTACAGCTAAATACCCTATATATCCCTAACACTACAAAGCCTAAGTCGTTCATTGATTAATTAATTATAAACCCTAAAATACCACTCTCAGACGGACGTCAACTTGCGGGAGAATTAATTGTTTATTAATTTTTTACATTTTGTTTATCGTATCAAGAATGTTAACACTAGTAATTGTAGAATAGCTCATGTTGATCATCTTCCTGTGACAATTTACCTAATATTAATGCCGATTTCCCAGACAATATTGCTATTTCCAATGATGATATACAGGATGTTGTTATTCCTGTTGGAGTTGAACCAGGAGTAAACTTCAATCCTGATTTGCCTGTTAGGGATTTCGATCATCAGACTGTTACTCGTTCTGGTAGGACAAGGCGTAGACCTGCCTGCTTGGATGATTTTCATACTTGATTTATGCGCTGTAACATTTTGTTTTGAATTACATTGGGAATTGTGCTATACTGTATATGTAGTGTTTTTAGATAGGGTTTATTTGAATTTGTAGTTGGGAATTTTTATTGTGTATTTTGTAAATAGTATGCTGTATATTTGCCATACTTTCAGGAATGCTTTCTACTGTTTTAGTATTTTGTTTTATGTGTTTCATATTTTGCTAATACCTGCTGATTGACAATTTGTGTTTTCTACGAGTTTTGTATTCTTACTGTGTTTATTACCTTTCTTCGGGGGATGTTTTTATTTTTTGAGAGTAAATTTTCTCTAAACAAAAGGGGGTATTGTGGCGGGACTGGAATTGTCCTATTTTTTATTGTTCTGTATTTTATTTATATTTAGTGTCTAGTTATGGCATATACATTGGTGTGTCTGAGCCCTAATTCGCCCAATAGTTGTACTCGACTCCAACCACCACTGCATATGTGAACTGCTTCGGATTCGCAGTGTCTGCCTTCTTTGCTGTCGCTGAGTAAGGACCATATTTTGTCGCTCTTATTTTATCTGCTTTAAGCTAGGATTTTACACTATTTTAATAAAGTCTCTTCGTTTGCATCGTGAACTTCGAACCTATTTGTGTGTCCTTGCAGCACATTGGATCTTCTGAACTAATTATTACAGTATTACTAGACTGTATCAGTGGCGAGCACCTACGGTACCGGTATTCCGGTTAAGTCGTACCGTTGCATACGGTAACTCAGTCGAGTAATTGTTCCAAGAACTGAACTGGGATTGACTCAAAGTTCCCATTTCATCAAAAAAAATTTTAGTCGATTATACAGAATTTTTTCGTATATCTTGGCAATTTGTGACAGTAGGGAGATTGGCCTATAATTGTTTGGGTCATGCTTGCACCCTTTCTTGTGAAGTGGCACTACTTTGGCTATTTTCAATATATCTGGATACACACTTTCATGAAAACTTTGATTAAAAAGCTTTGATAAAAGGAAGATAAAACATATTTGGCAGTTTTGAAAAGTCTTACAGGTATATAGGATAGGATTTACATATTTATCCCGGGGGAGAGAAAAGCCGATAAGACGGCTTATCCATATGGCGAACCACGGCCTCTCGTCCGGTTACCATTCCAAGTCGGGTATGGGATTAGTTATATTGTTTGTTTCTGGAAGCATGGACTTGGTGGTGGAGGAAGCCGTAACCGACCAGCGGTTACGTGAACCACCCAACGACGGCACGGTACGTTGATTTACTCCACTGTTTTATTTAGCGATCTGTCGCAAACTGTTGGTCTAGTTTTTCCGGGTTTTAGTTTATTGATAAGAAGTATTCTTCGAGATTAACATAAGCGACGGTAAATCTCGCTTTCGTTTACCATGGGAATTTGATTTGCGGCGGAACGAGGGAGTATTTTTGAAATTTATGCAAATTTCGATGTTTTCTGGGTGGTAATAGAAGACATATTATCCCTTCCATCTACCAAAGTATATTGAGTTAGATAACGAAATTGCTACAGCAATATTATGCTATTGTTTGCCAACCAAGAAGCCGGTAACAGTAAAGGATTTAGTGAATATTTCTATTTTTTATTCACGGTTTTGAAGTTTCAACAACCCGAGAAAAAAAAATGCCTTTTATTTTCTATCCGGTTTGTGACTCAGACCATCCCTTTTAAAAAAAAAAATTTTTAAATCGATAATAGACCTTATTCATTTAAAAACCCATCCTACGCGCAAAAAATAAAAGTGATGTGAAAATTTTTTTTTAACATTAGCTCTTATGGGAAATGTGATCACCAGAGCAGAAATTTGCATTTTTGTAATTTTCTAGATATCTTTTCATTGTATAACGTGAGCAGTTTTTGAGGATAGAATATTTTTACATCTTTTTGATATTTTTATCATGATAAACATGGTCAAGATTTTTGATAATCGTTCATTAAAATTTTAAATGAGCGCGGTGTTTCGATGACGTCATTCTCACTAGACCATGAGATTCTGCCAACGCGCCGTGCTCTGTGGGATATGCGCTGCAAATGCGGCCCTAATGTCGCTTTGGGTGCGTGTCCGTCCGGTACTGGAAGCGTTTAACATTGACAATCTATAACCCGTACCATTTCTATCACGTTTGTTTACTGTTTTTACGCATTTATACCTGTACAGCTAGCAATCATTTACTGAAGGCATGCTGACGTGTTATTTAAACTACCGGTACCCGTACCAAGGCTGCAAGAAGGTGGAAACTAAATTATTTAAATAAGTACTGAAATAGGCCTACGAACAAAAATGTTGGCCATCTTGCCAATAGGCAGGACAAGTTGTACGGTACCGGTATACAAAAAAGATGAATATCTCCAACCTATAATGGTACATACCGGTCTCGTAACTAGGTTAAAAAACATGACTGATATACGAGAGGGAGATTTATTTTGGTCAACCAGAATACAAGCATTGATTCAATAAAAATCACAGAAACACACAGTTATTCGGTATAGACTGGGGGAGCGATACGACCATTCACAGTCAGCTATCAAGATTAACAGTTATTTAAGATGTTTTAACAAAAACTTGACTAAGTTTTAAGCTAAGGGAAGCTAAGCTAAGGGAAGGGTTGACTAAGTTACGGAATATTTTTGGATTCGGTTAAAAATGTAGTTCATTATTAAACACTGCTTTTTTTGTAGATTTTTACTTAGTGGACACTTAGCAAGTACGACAGTTAATTTATAAAAAAAATTGTAAATTAATAACAAATCAGTAGAAGTCAGCCCGGGTATTCAAACATGTGATGATTGAAGTGAGAAAAAAATTTGAAACCACGTTTAGGATATTACATTCAACAACAATGGAAAAGGTACATTGGAATCAGTCAAGCTTCAAATGCTAATGGCATTAATGAAAAGAATATGCGAAATGAAGACTGAAGTTTCCATCTGAGACATTGGAAGACGCTAAAACCTTATAGACTTGATAGTGTGGAAAGCCTTCTCACAATGAGCATATATACAATGAGTGGAAACTTGCAAAGATTTGCTCATTTTGGTATTGTTCCCTGCATTTTTACGTCGTCCAGCTAAATGGTTCGTTGCATATTAAGAAAACGCATTGCTCGCTGCCAAAATCCCTTGCTTCAGCCGAGTCGGGTGCGAAATTGGCCGTACTGAGGTCTGTAATTCTTCAATACATATTTGGTTTTGGGTTTCGAAGTATGGTACGCTGAAAGCATACAACTATGAGCATATGCTTATTGGGAATGCATATCTATTAGGCAGAAAACGTATCTACAGAACAGAATATGAACCAGTCGCCGAGAGGGGTGCGGTTATTTATGTATTTATTCATTGATATAACATGGGATTTACATATTTATCCATGGGAGAGGAAAGCCGAGAAGAATGCCTAAATATATGGCGAACCACGGCCTCTCACAATCATAGCTCTGTCCTCCATATGAATCACATGGCTCTGCGAGCTATTCGTTTACCTATTAAAAATACTGATTTTAACTATAAATTACTCTGGGATATCTTGCCTTTGAAAACAAAAGCCAGAAATTGGAAGAAAATCAGGGAATGAAATGTGTATTATGTAATGGAGAACCTGAGTTTGTTTCACATATTTTCATGTATTGTAAATTACAAAAAATATTTATGAAGAATTTGTTTTAGATATATTAAAATTGATTAGAATACATTTTGTTATCAATATGATTCTTGCATATCATTTAATTTTAACGATCCTTTATATAGTCATATAGATACTGTTGATTTGGATGCAATTATACTTTTGTTATCAATAGTGAGAAATATTTCAGGACTGCTATTAACTATGTGAGCTATTTTTTCTGCAATGCAAAATACATCTTGCGTCTGCTATTTACTATGTGAATTAATTTTTCTGCAATGTAAAGTATTTCCATAACTGCTTTTACTATGTGGGCTGTTTTTTCGGTACTCTTGTAGTATGTGTACCAGGTTAGGTTACGATTCTCCTTATTTTTGTTCTATTAAAAGTTCGGGAATTGTCTGTGTTACACAAGTGAATATCCCCTACCGATAGAATTTAGTCCATTTACACAACTTGATATAAAATAGGCGAACAAAATTAGTTACCTTCATATTGGTACACATACTTCTGGAGCACCATTTTTTTTGTAATGTAAAATATTTAATATGTGAACTAATTTTTTTGGAATGCAAAATATTTTCTACAGCTTCTGTATTTTTCATATGTCACTTTTCATTTCATCGAAATACACATGGTCTGGCACATTGTTCATTCTTTGTGGAGATTTTGGTAAATTTACAGATGGAATAAGACCGACATTCATTTTTTCTGTTTTACAACTGTAATACAAACCCAGTTGGTAGACACCGGAACCATGTGTACCAGGTTAGGGTCTACTACATACAAGCATTCCCAAACTTTTCAAGCCGCACCCCCTTTTTAGAATTTGTGAAGTCTTGCGCCCCACCTCAAAATAGTTAGCTAACAATAATAAGCTACAAATAACAGTAGTAACAGTAAGGCATAAGTACGTTTTATTGGAAAAACAGTTGAAAATACATGGATGGAACGAAATAAATGACAAGTTTTGATATGCAAATATTTACAAGTTTTGATATGTATAAAATTAGCCAAGTCCAGAAGTCAGTATTTTAAACTAATAGAGAGAGAGAGTTTATTTCGTTCGTCAAACCATGAACATATATAAATTATAATAAAAAAAAGAGATGCTCAGGTGTTTGACTGGGAGACAACGTTACAACATTTGGGGTCATTTAACAGGTTCGGTGTTAAATTCTTCAATAGCTCTCATATACCGTATTCACTATATACATTATTCACAAGAATTTTTGATTTGGAAAGTACTAAATAATCATGTTTTGTCCTAAGATCATCATTTATTCAGCTGATAAGTTGACATGTATTGCATATCAACTGCATAAAAATGGGTTAGCAAGGATACCTATTATTTGGAAAATTTGTCTACTAAAAATTAATGTGATAGGACATGGGTTTTTTATGAGCAAAGATGAGGAAAATTCTATTATTATAGCACTTTAATTATAAACATTTGATAATAGTAATGAAATCATGAGTATATTTCTTTATACACTATAATTTGAACACATCAAATTATAATACTTGATTATGACTGGCAAGTGATTTGGAGGATAGTGACACACATTAATACATGATCAGGATTTGACCCTTCTCCAGCAGATATATATATATATGAAATAAAGTGCTCATGTACATATCTATATTCGGCTACAGAGCACGTATCATAGAATGAATTTTAAGGCGAAATATTGATAATATACCGAAATAGCAATGATAAACAATAGGTTATTTTTAAATAAGTATTACCGGTACTAAAAAATAAATAAAGTGCTCATATACATATAGATATTTGGATACAGAGCAAGTATCATAGAATAAAATTCAAGGCAAAAAATTGATTAAATACCAGAATAGCAAAGTATAATAAACATTAAGATACTTTTAAACGAAGTATTACTAAAAAATAAATAATGTGGTCATGTACATAGATATTTGGATACAGAGAAAGTGTCATAGAATTTAGGGCGAAATATGGATGCAAGTATGATAAACAATTTGATATTTTTATAAAAGTGTTACTAACAATAAAATAATAGATTATGGAGTTCCAGCAAGTGTGCTCATAACAAATAAAAAGATAGCAATTCATTTACCACAGTGAATTAAATTCATTACACATTACTACTTGCTATAACACGGCGGGCACATGATACTCATCGTGTTTTAAACTTTTTTAAAGGTTTTGCTCGCTCTCCAGAACTCTCCATTTTTTATTTGTTTGTATTGTCAGATTGTGGACTTTTCAAAATAAACTATCTATATCAATGAATACAATATCCCAGGTCACCACTTGGCTGGTTCATATTCTGTTCTGTAGTTAAGTTTTCTGCCTAATAAATGGTATGTATTCCCAATAAGCATTACAGTATGCTCATTCGTTCACTCAATGAGTGATTTTAATTACGGTTAATATAAATAAGTTCATATTCCATGTTGCATCCATGATTCAGTATTTATTTTGTTCAATTCCAGTAGTAATCCATACCATAATTAGGTTATTTTAATAAATGCATTGATATAAAACAATAAAAATGAAATTAGTAAATATAAAATACATATCATAAACATATAATTTTCTTTTTGAAATAACGCTTTACATAAATTTTTCAATTCCCTCTCAAATGGGTTGTTTATTCTATAATTCTCTATATTTTTCTACATATTATGGCCATTTTTATCTGCTTTTTGAGAAAGGCAAAATGGGGTGTTTTATTTTCGAATATAATAGAATTTCTCATGGTCAAAATTTTATATCTCACTATTGATTACAAAAGTATAATTGCATCCAAATCAACAGTATCTATATAAAGGATCGTTGAAATTAAATAATATGCAAGAATCATATTGATAACAAAATGTATTCAAAATCCTCATAAATATTTTTTGTAAATTTACAATACATGAAAATATGTGAAACAAACTCAGGTTCTTCATTACATAATACACACATTTCATTCTCTGCTATTCTTCCAATTTCTGGCTTTTGTTTTCAATGGCAAGATATCCCACAGAAATAGTAAAAATCAGTATTTTTAATAAGTAAACGAATAGCTCGCAGAGCCATGTGATTCATATGGAGGACAGAGCTATGATTGAGAGAGGCCGTGGTTTGCCATATATTTAGGCATTCTTCTCGGCTTTCCTCTACCCTTGGATAAATATGTAATCCCATGCGCGGCGGTGTGGCTCAACGGGCTAAGCGTTAGGAATACGCTCGCCACCGCACCTCTAATTACTCTGCATGGGTCCGCAGGTTCGGCAGGGATGCTTGCTGGACTCCTCGCCGCCGTTGGGTGATTCACGTAACCGCTGGTCGGTTACGGCTTCTCCACTAACAAGTCATGCTTCCGAAAACAAACAAATAACTAATCCATGCCCGACTTGGAATGGTAACGGACGAGAGGCCGTGGTTCGCCATATGGATAAGTCGTCTTATCGGCTTTCCTTTCCCCCGGGATAAATATGTAAATCCTTATCCTCATTATCCTAATAAATACATAATAACCGCACCCACTGGGCGACTGTTTATATTCTGTACTGTAGGATAAATAATCCAATATTCATTTTTCATATGTCCATTCCATCAGTGTTTGAGGTGTTGATCGCATCGGCATACAATTCATCAATTTTTAGTATATTGAGTTAGATTATGTACAATAAACGTAAAAAATTAAATATATTAGACATGTTCATTTTAATACATACTAAATTTATACACACTAGATTTATAGTTCAAATACAATTCCTTAGTATTTCAAATTCTCTGACAAAATTTGTGATTTTCTATTTTTTCAATGTTGAGTCTGTAAGTGATTGCAGTTTTTATTTGTTTGATCACGGTAGGTGATTAGGGGTATTACTTTCGAATATAACAGAATTTCTTTGTATCCATATTTTATATCTAGTGATTGAAATTAAATAAACATCTTGTAATGTTGGAATGTAACAAATAGCTTAAATCCAATAAAACACAAGTTTCATAATTTTTCAAAAGTCTGGCATTATTTAAATTCCTAACAGTATTTTCCATAAAATCAAAAACATAATCAAAATATTCACAATTCATAAATAGATGGCTAACAAATTCTGGTTCTTTTCCACATAACACACACATATCATTTCCTGCTATATTTCTTATTCCAGGTTTTGTTTTTACTGGTAAAATATCCCACATTAACTTGAAATTAAAGGTTTTCATATAGTTTGCCAGAATATTATTATGAATATTCTCACATGCAATATTTAAATTACAATTGCGTAGAAAAATTAATCTGTCCCCAGTCATAGAAATAACAATTTTTTTATAATAGTTTTATGCATATCTTCTTTTATATCTGTACTACTTATGTTATGCTTTCTTAAAAATTCTAATATTAATCTATACTCACTTTGAGGACAAAATCTATGTAAACATGTATTTTCAGTTCTAATCCCCAAAATGTACTAAGTTGTTGTCCAATATTGTATTCAACAAAGGACATACAAATATGATTGTAGTCCTCATTATAATCACATTCTCTAGCTTTATAATAATCCAAGACACTAATTATGTACATGCACATTGTACAAATGGGTATGTTAATAATATCATAACCCCCCAAATTTTTTGGTTTGCACAAATTCCCTATTTTCAGTATGCTTCTTCCATTGAACACAAATTTTTCCACGTTTACTATCTAATAGATATGCATTCCCAATAAGCATATGCTCATAGTTGTATGCTTTCAGCGTACCATACTTCGAAACCCAAAACCAAATATGTATTGAAGAATTAAAGACCTCAATACGGTCAATTTCGCACCCGACTCGGCTGAAGCAAGGGATTTTGGCAGCGAGCAATGCGTTTTCTTAATATGCAACGAACCATTTAGCCGGACGACGTAAAAAATGCAGGGAACAATACCAAAATGAGCAAATCTTTGCAAGTTTCCACTCATTGTATATATGCTCATTGCTTCTCACAATGCAGTAATAATGAGACATATATTTATAATATCATTATACAGGCTTTAAGTTGAACTATATGTTTAATTAAAATACCTATCTTTGCTAATAGATGCTGAAAACCATTTATTTCAATCTGCTGAGTGATTAGGGCCAGAAATTTGCTGTAGGGACCATCACCAGGGCTGGATTTACCAATAGGCTAGGCAGGCTGAAACCTAGAGCCTCGAAATTCGGTTTCAAAGTTTGTAATTCTTTTGAAAACTTGACATGTTTAAACCCTACAAAAAGTATATATATATATATATCAAGCTTTTCAGAGTGGAAAATTCTGTACACAACTAGTTTCAACCACATTGTAAACAGTCATTATTGCGTCGTTTGCATCATAATAAGGGAAATTATAAATTTGCGCATTCTGCTGGAAGTTTCTATGTTAAAGTATGGCTGTAGCGGTTGTTTGATCAAAGAAATTGAAAGCAAAACTGCCTCAAGTAAATTATCATTCTTTTTTCAAATTTTGAGCAATTAAATGTGGTGTTATTGAGAGAGAAGTTCTGAGCTCAGAAATATGAAGGGGCCTCTCATGGTCTAAATCCAGCCCTGAACATCACCAATTTTGGGATAGGTACCGTACATGGTAGGTACCGTCAACATATGAATTGAGTTAGGCCATTGGGTTTTGAAAGGTGTACCAGAAATCTACATGGAATTCATGAAATATATAACATCCAATTAAACCCAAAATAGGTCTTTCGTTGAACGCCAGTTGTGGTCCCGGCACCGGTATTCCAGTATTCTGTTATCACAAGCAGTTGGAGCACATATCCCACAGAGCACGGCGCGTTGGCAGAATCTCATGGTCTAGTGAGAATGACGTCATCGGAAACACCGCGCTCATTAAAATTTCAATGAACGATTATTAAAAATCTTGACCATGTTTATCATAATAAAAATATCAAAAAAGATGTAAAAAATATTCTATCCTCAAAACTGCTCACGTATACAATGAAAGATATCTAGAAAATGACATAAAATGCGAATTTCTGCTCTGGTGATCACATTCCCCATAAGAGCTAATGTTAAAAAAAAAATTTTTACATCACTTTTCTTTTTGCGCGTAGGATGGGTTTTTAATGAATAAGGTCTATTGCAAGCACTTTAAATAAGCTTTCCAACGAGCCGTCAGTTGGCAGCAGAGGATCATTACTTTTTCGTCAGTCGATCGATTAGTTGTGGGGGTACAAATGCATAAAGTCGGCGTAGCAAATACGATTATTTAATAAAAAATAAAAATCGCATGAAAAGGGTTAACATCCAATTATTCAATTTGTTTTTCTATTTCTAGTGAGGTGATGCTACGAAGAAAGAAAGACTCTTTGATGCTTGGCCCAAGGTTATACATGTGACTATTCAAAGCTGAACCTGTGTTAGATGCAGCCTTAGGACCGACTTCCAAAAAATGTTGGTTCAGTGTACAACAACTGGCATATCCATCAGTAATCCATGCTTTCGAAAACAAATAACTGGCTAACTAATCCCATACCCGCCCTGGACTGGTAACCGGACGAGAGGCCGTGGTTTGCCATATGATTAAGCCGTCTTATCGACTTTCCTCTCCCTCGGGATAAATATGTAAATCCTATCCTCATTTTTTCACCATCCACTATGATATGGAAGCTTGTTTTTCTTAGAGGAGTTGACAATTATTCCAATAATGTGAATCCGTGTTTTTGGCAGCTAGAAAGAACCGTTTTATAGTGTAGCGAATGTGCATTGTGTAACTATGAATTATAATGTATTTACCCTTTCATTTTAATAGTGTGTTCCATTTCCCACAATAGGTCATTTTATTGTAGCAACACTGATTACATGTACTGCCTTTCTCGTTTAGATCCACTTCTGTTTTACTGCGTTAAGTGTGATGTGTTTTGATTCACTCCTGATTTACTGTGTTAAGAGTTAAGTGTGTCTCAATTTTATCTGTTTTCGGAATTTGGATTGTGCATCTTCCTATAAGATACAACAACGATTAGCATCAACACTGTGTGCTTATTATCGTCTGAAGGAGTCCAGATTGGAGTCACATTCCATAACGCGTGTCAAAACAATAACGCGGGAATCGAACTTAAACATATAGGGTGATAGTCTTTATCTCATCATCAGCATCTCATCTCTTTCTCCCTATAAAAGTATTCTTGTCATACAGTCAGACGAGTCAGTCAGTTCTCTGGCAATCTGGTGTCATAAAATCCATACCTACCGTACCGGTATACTTCGGTACCGTAACGCAATTCACGCTAACACTCTGTGTGACTTAGCATGGTAGTTTTTCTAACTCGTTTATCCCTAAACTTCCTATCCGTCTAAATCCGATTCTGGATGCGTTCTGTCGCTCAGCAACTTAATTGTTACTTATCTCACGAAAGCGAGGTTCAATCTACTCCAAATTGCATGTGCATTCATCTTAGCTCGGATCAGAAACCTATTGATTTTGGATAGATTATGTTGCATAATTAGCGAGTTATCAATTAATTAGTGATGGGACACACGGTGTCACTATGGAGTAAGACCACTGTTTTGGGGGAACCCCCAACCTTCGATCGATAAGTCTTCGGTTTCCAACCGAATTCTAGTTCATTGACTGATGTTGGTATACCCGCAGGCAGAAATTTTTTTTTTCTTTCCTTCAAATCTTATGTGTTGGATGTCCATGGAGTATGAATTCTGCTTCAGCATTTGTACTTGGGAGTTTTTTTTTCTTTCATTAATTCTTCTGCAAATAAAAATTATAGCTGGATTTGATGTTGCAAGTGACAATATATAACAATTTGATAGCTGCCATTGTACGGAAGTTCAACAAATTGATATGTTGAACCATTTTTTTTTTAACTACGGGTACCGGTCTAATTGTATTTCCCCGCCTTTTTTTACTCATTCTATAATGATATGTTGCCTTTTTTATTTTATTTTTCAATTTTTGACTCATTTCAAATGTTGGTGTCGCAGACCTATGATGACCCCGTCTGTTTCTTGCGATGAAAGCCACCTGCTGTCAACTGCGATTAAATCCGTTGCTGTATGGTATAATAAGCTGTGTGTTAAATTTGTGTATGATTTCTTGCATGGCGAAATGAACGAAGATAAAAATTTTCGTACAGGAGGACAGCTCAGTAATGTGGTGAACTAATTTTAAAACTTAATACTAAAGGAATTTTCCCGAATTAATTTTTTTTTCTCTCCCTCAAATGCTACCGTGTATGAAGATTTATATCGTTGCCTGCTTTCTTGGATGACTAAGTTTCTCTTTGTATCCATTGCATTCTTCTATTGCAAATTTTACTTTTTGACTCGTCTTAAATCTAGGTGTCGCTGACTTATGATGACCATTTCTGGTCCTTCGCGACTTCCTGTCAATTGCAATGAAATTCGTTACTGTAATGCATATAATGTAATTTGTTATCTGTTGTGAATTTTTGTTGCGATTTTTTGCACGACGAAATAAACATATTGTCTTGTTTAGCCTTTGCAAGACTCCTACATAATTTATTCCTATATTTTTGTATTCTCTTATTTATAACCAATAATTTTGGATGGATTTTATCAATGCTAAATATAATTTCTGAAGTCATAAAATATTATAAATTCTAGAGAGTTCTAGCAAAAGAATTCGACCCAAATATTGCACGCAAGTGAATAATTCTCATGTGATATGATGAATCACCCCTATTTTACATGGATTTTGCTAGAGGTATCGAGCAAAGACTGTTTGAAGTGTGAAACCTTATAAATATGATCTCATCAAACAAAAGAAACAGCTAACGGCTAACCTTAAGAGATAGAAGTGTAATTTGTTTATGCTGATTTAAATTGTTGTAATAGATTGTCGAAAGAAATAAAATTGTACAGTGGTGACGCCGAATCTTGGGATTTATTACCATGGATCATTGCCAACAATCGTAAGTCTTCTTATTTATTATATAGATAGTTTGGTAGTGCAATTTTGTATTCTAAAATTTTTCCTGTATTATACTTATTGTACCTTGTACCTGTTATTGCTTAGTGTGGGCCAGTTTATATTGTATATTGTACCGTATAAGATAAATGCCAAATTTACAAAAAATGTTTACGCGAAGTAAAACTCGTAAAGCATTAGGTGTAAATCCTTATCAGTTAACACATCTAACTCCAGAAGTGACCAAAGAAAATGACCCACAATTCGGACTCCAAAAATTGAACATTTCTGAACCTAATTTAATTGGAAACGAAATAGACGATAATCATTGGCAGAGTTCCACATTAGAAGAGATGAAAATAGAGAGACATGGAGCTCACGCAGTGTGACGATACCGATGTAGGTCAGGAAATTAATTTTAAATTGCCATCAAGTAGGAAATTAAATGACCAAACCAACCCATTTTTTCACGATGAAAATAAAGTCGAAGAGTTTGGAATGAATTCCAAAATATCCCAGATAACTCAACCTAGAGCAATATTGTATGAAAAACATAGAATTCCTACAAGACCGCTCTGGGAGAACAATGTAAGAAACTGGCTCTATTTAACAGAAAACGAATTTACTGAAAATCAAATAGTTAGTGATTCCCAAAAGAAAAACTATGTACTTCGTTGCTTAAATTCACCACAACTTGATCTTGTCAGAGCTAGAATGCCTTTGGATGAAAAGTATAATAATTATGAAAAATTGAAACAAATTTTGTTGGATATTTTTGCCCCTGATTCTCGCGAAAAATTACAGGAAATATTTTCTGGTCAATTACAAAATGAAAGACCAGATATCATTCTTAAACACCTGAAAGATACTTTTATAGTAGGGCATGAAAATAGTACACAAGTTCAGAATCTTATAAAGAAAGTGTTTGTAGCATTGTTACCTGCTTACATAGCTAACGTATTATATTCGGATATAGGAAAATATTCTTGTGAAAAATTACTGTGTCGTGCAATGCAAATTTATGATTCATCAGACAAACCTTCCAACCATGTAACAACATCGTATCAAAACGATTTCTCTGAGCAAAATAAACTGAGTCAAGTCAACTAATCGATCTTGTGACTTCCTTGGCTAAAAATGTTGAAAATTTGAATAATCAAAACAATAAACAGCTCTAGATTTGAACCTAAATTTAATCAGGTTCCTAGATATAATGCTCCACCACGACATCAAACGAGACAGTATATTTCACAAGATAGAAGGCCGTCTGAAACGAGAGGTTTTGATGGAGGCAATATGAGGAATTCTAGGAATACGTTCAGCTCGAATAACTATAACTGGAGCGGAATTGTGATGGTAATTTTTGCTACTTCCATAATAGATTTGGAGAAAATGCAGTTAAATGTAATGCACCATGTAGCTTTCCCAGAAAACAAAATTTTTTAGCCAAAGGGGGGTAGGCTTTGCTGGTTTTAACAGCAGAGAACGCCTACCCAAATTTAAGCATGAAACGAATACTGTACATAGATTTAAGAAATGTGATATTGTAAATAAAAATATTCTACCGTCTCCTGGCGGCAATAAAAAATTATTTTTTGTATACGAGTCTTTTTCTAATGCTAAATTAGAATACACATGATACACATGTAACGTTAAGCTCAAATTGTGGCCGTATTTTTGAACCTCTTATCACGGCAAATGGCACCAAATTATCCATATTAGGTAATAAAGAAATTGAAATGTGTTTGGCAAATAAGCCAAAATTTATACATAATTGTGTTTTAGCCAACATAGAATTTGATGGGATACTGGGAATAGATTTTCTTGTCGAACATGAACTGGTAATTGACTTAGCAAATAATTGTTTAACTAATCGATCACAGAATCTCTCAATTCCATGTCATAAAACTTTGGAGTAAGTCCGTACAATTCACCTCTGAATATCGTCCCGAAAAAGGACAACTCTATTAGACTCACATATGATTTCAGACGTTTGAATCTAATTACAAGAATTCCAAGGTATCCCTTGCCGAGACTTGAGGATTTTACGTCGGAACTCGCCGGGTGTACGGTTTTTACAAAATTAGACCTCGAATCTGCTTACTCAAATTTGAAAATTAATCCGTTACATCGCCACAAAGCGGCGATATCGACCATGGCGTATGGATTATCAGGGTGTCCGGCTACCTTCTCCAGGTTCATGGCCGAAGTTTTAATTGGATTGAAAAATGTTTTTGTTTATCTCGATGATATACTAATTTACACTAAGACAAAAGAGGAAAACTTGAAAGTAACTGAACAAGTACTTAAAAGGCAGGGTTAACTTTAAAAATAACTAAGTGTGAGTTTGGCAAGTCAAAACTTTCTTATTTGGGTTATGAACTTGATAAGCAAGGAATCCGACCACTAAAAGATAAAGCTTTCGAATACCACAAACTGTCACAGAATGTCGCAAGTTTATAGGACTTTGTTGCTTCTACAAGAAACACATACCAAGATTTTCCGAAATCATTCATCCGATTACTAAAATCGTTTCAGATAAAAATCGCAAACACCAAAGTCCAAACTGGACAAAAGAATGCACTACTGCCTTTAATAAAAGAATGCCTAGTAAACGCATGCAAAATAGCACATCCAAAAGTAGATGTGCCAATAACAGTGATATGTGACGCAAGTTCGTCTGCACTTGGGAGCGCTGTAAAGCAATATGTTGATGGACGGCAGTCGGCGTTAGGTTTTTTTTCTAAAACTCTATCAAATCGAGAAAAAAACTACACTATTTTTTCTAAAGAGCTTATGGCTTGTTATTTAACTATTAAGCATTTTAAGAATCTTTTGATAGGTCAACAATTTCAATTACTATCCGATAATAAAGCGTTAATTCAAGCTTTGAAAAACCCCACAGACCGGCTGAATTCCAGGGAAAACAGGCACCTAGATTATATCAGGAGTATGTCTAATTCTTTTTCACACATACCCGGTTCAAGTAATCCAATAGCTGATTTTATATCTAGGTATGTAAACACTGATATCAAAAATACTAATAATGAAAACGAAATAGAAAAAGTAAGTAAAGTTGACAAAAATTCCACTGTCGGGGCCAAGGCAAGAACAAGGCGAAACGCATAATACCGTATTTTCCCGAAATTACGCCTATATCGCGAACAGGCCGACTCCCTAAAAACGGCCTTAAAACGGCGATTTTTTAAAAAATCGCACATAAGCCGGTCCTACGAATCGTTACACGCCGGACGCCTCAAGAAAAACGTGAAAGGGACAAAATTACTGTAACGCAAACATTTCTCACGTTATCGTTTCTGCATGTTAGCGAAGGCCGTAGGTGGATTATTACCCGTAACTCTTACTTGTTAATTTTATGTTAATAAAGTCTATATTGCTTTTCATGCGTCGGGAGTTTTCCTGAATCAGCATAAAACAATTTCCTTTGAGAGCCACAACGGCGATTAATTTCGTTCCTTGTCTGTCCAAGGAAAGAAATAACGCTGTATTAACACATTCTTATAAATCGCTACGAATCTTAACACCCAGACGCCTTAAGAAAAGGCGCAGAAAGAAAACAAAATTGCTGTAACACAAATATTTCTCACGTTTATCATTTCTGTTTGTTAGCCGACGACCGTAGATTCTTACTCGTAACTCTTACTGTAAATTCATATTAATAAAGTCTATATTGCTTTTCATACGTCGTGAATTTGTATTATTGGAAGAGATTGTTGTCGGGAGTTTAAGAGAGTCCCTGAGTCAGCATAAAACAATTCCTTTGATCGTCCACAACGCGGTTAACTTCGATAAGAGTCCTTATCACCGCCACTTAACAGATAACATATCATAAAGGTGATTAAAAGTCGCGCGTCGTTAATTGCCACTGTTGCTGTTATGTAAAAGAAACACAAGCGAAAAACAAACCAATCACAGACTGTACAAGCGTCACGTGTTGAACAACCAATCACAGACTGTACAAGCCATCAGCTGTATGATAAGACAATCCACCTTCACAAGCTGTTGTGTGTGTGTGTGTGCACGCTTTTTATCGTGAGAACTTGGTATGGTTTGAAGCTTTTGGAATTACCGGCAAGTTAGCATAATATCATGTCGTTGCATGATCAATTCTGATGCGCGAATGAGCCGATTTTTTTGTGCAATCTGAGTTGTGCGCGAATAAGACGGTCCCTTAGTTTGGCAACTTTTTTTTTTGAGTTTTAAACTCGGCCTATTCGCGATCATATACGGTAATTCATTTTTCAAAAATAGCGATTACGGAAGCCTTGTAAGCACGCATGAAATAAACAGCTCGATGCTACCAGACCATGACGCGACTCCGGTGACGTGCGAAACCGCTGATGCATGTGTAGTACAAAATAAAACTGTAAATATTATTTATCAACAACACGATGCTATACCATTGACAGAAATAGCTAGGGAACAAGAAAATTGTAAGGAAATACAACGTTTGAAGGTCGACCCAGGTCACTCTCTTAAAATTGCAGAAATAGCAATAGATAAAATGGGTGGAATGATTTTATGCGACGTGTCTTCAGAATATAAGAAGGCCAGGCCTATAGTACCTAAAAATCTACGTAAAAAAGTTTTTGACAAAATACATGGTCTATGTCATCCAGGTATCAAAAGTAGCAACAGTTTAATTTCAGAACGTTACGTGTGACCACAAATGCATGCAGATATCACAAATTATGTGAAATCTTGTTTAAAATGTCAGAAAAACAGAATCTTTAGACACACTGTGTCTCAACTTTCATCAATTCCCATCCCCAATGAGCGTTTTTCTGAAGTACAGATCGACATTGTCGGGCCATTATGTTTGAGCTCAGGTTATACTTATATTTTTAGTATGATTGACAGAACCACACGATGGGTGGAGGCTATTCCAATAAAGGATTTGACAGCCTCAACTCTTATAGATACCTTTTTATTACACTGGGTTGCCAGATTTGGCTGTCCAACTGCTATAAGAAGCGATAATGCCGCCTCATTTAGAAGTAAAAATTGGTCTCAATTTATGAATTTCCTAGGAATACAACATAATTTTTCATTACCATATATGCCTCAAAACAATGGGCAGATAGAACACATTCACAAAGAATTAAAACTTGGCCTAAAATGCCATGAAAATCCCAGTGAATGGTCATCAAATCTGGGCTACGTTCTTTTAGGTCTTAGATCAATTCCTAAGTTAAACGGATTTTCATTGGCTGAGCTTGCATATGGTAGAACACTAAGACTCCCAGGAGACTTAGTGGAAAGTTCTAATATAAGTCAGAATCTTGACCCATACAGTTATGTTTCTAAATTAAAACGTTTTTTTGGAAATTTTAAAGCTCTTCCAACGAGGAAGAAAATAAGGAGTAATGTATATATTCCACCAAAGTTTTTACATGTAGCCACGTGTTTCAACGAATAGATCACGTAAAGAAATCTTTGCAACCCAATTATCAAGGGCCATATGAGGTTATATTTCGGAATAAAACTTGTTTTACTATAAAGAAAAACAGAGGAATTGAAAAAGTTTCCATTAATCAATTAAAACCAGCCGAAATTAGAATTTTTGATACAGATACAGAAGAACTTTCTTCCTCTACTAAACAAAATGATTTTCCTTCTAAAATAGAAAATTCACCGGTAAAAAAGATTGTTACTACAGATTATAATAATGAATCAAATTTTCCAGTGGTTACGAATCCAACGAAAGAGGAGACAGAGAAAACTAAAGAGGATCAGAACCAGACCAGATATGGCCGGACAGTACATCCTCCAATCCGGTACGGTCAGGCGGCAATGTGCCAGATCGAAGAAACCGAAGTGTAAAGGACGATGATGAAGTAATCTCCCGGACCGATAATTATGACAGAAAACTGGTCTACGTGAAACATGGGGAAGTTGTTGGAACAGAACATATTGCAGACTTGGAACAATGGAAATTTCTGGGTATCATTGCCAGAACAACAAAATAAATCAAGAGTACGATATATCCGATGATAAATTCTGTCAAGGGCAAAAATCCGAACACATTGTTAAATGCCAAGCTAAAATTTATCATGCACCAAAATTGCATACCAAAATTCAAATTCGAGCTTGTCAAACAAGCATAACGGAATGGCGAAGCCATTTTTATTTTTTCGGGGCTAAAACTCATTATACTAAAATAATACCTGGCGTACCAACTGCCGAACAAAATTGCCGAAACTGGTTTGAAACCCGCGAATCAAATCAGTTTGGTAAATTTGTTCAGAAAACTAATAATTTGTGGGAAACAGAGAATAATAAGCCGGTCATAAATTATAAATGGCCTACGACTGATTCGGGAGCAACCGAAAACATTGCTCTAATATACTCCTATGTAATGTACGACCATTTAAATTCGAAAATTATATTTCCACTAGCTGACAGCGCAAATTGCTCTATGAATCAATCTGCCTGTCAAATTGGCAGTTATACACTTTTATTTGACGCTTCAAAATTTGAAATGTGCCGGAATAAAATGGAAGAAATAAATTCCTCGCTAACCCTGCATATAAACAACACTAACCAAGTGTTTGCTGTAGAATTGGACGAATTACATATGACTTTTCATTCATTTTCAAAATGTAATGAGTTGACGACCAGATGCTTTGGCAGTATCTTCTGTCTAGAAAACGAACTTTTGGTTCAAGCTAATAATTGTAGTTTCTCAGAGAAAGTCGACATGATCCGCAAATTTGCAGATCATGCAGATCATCCCAACAGCCCTGACATTGATGATACAAAATGTTGCTGACTCTCAAACCGAGTTGTCAATGAAATTACAAAGCCAAATTTTTAAACTCGAATGTAACGCTGAACGACTATTATCTAAAATCTTGGCGAAAACATACCCTTCTGACGTTTTAAATGAAATTCTTGGGACAAACAACTTGTTTGCAGTAAACAGAGGAGACGTAATGGGGGCCCTCTGGTGTCAACCTATAAAAGCGACCATTTTAAACATCCTAAAATTACCTAACAACCTATATTCTACCCGTCCTCTGGTTAATTATACTGATATATCTAATAACACCGTGAAGGGCCAACTTCTAGGCTCTGGAAGACTTATTCCAGGAATTCATTTTTACAGTACCGAACTTCTAGAGTTTGTTACGTTTAAAATAAATAACACGTATTATAGGTACCAAAAGGGGATCCTGCAAAACATGACCCCCAAACCCAAAAAAATAACTCCTGATGATATAAATTATCTTATACTTCATTATCTTAAGTTCTTTGAAAACGACATATCCAGTACCAATGATATTGATTCTATGTTAATGTCTATAAATCAGAATTCTGCATTTACCAGAAGTCTGATTGATTATGCGAATTCTTTTAATGACGAAAGTGAAACCACTGGTGCAAATCCTGCACTCCCCTTGAAAATGCTAGCAAAACATATTACGAACATATTGATATCTTTTTTTTAGTGGTATAGGCAATAAGTTTCTTAGTTGGTAATTTTAATAGGACTAACCTTGGCTATTGTATTTGCATATGGCAGGACTCTGACTGGTAGTGGAGTCAAAAAACTTGGCCGGTCGAAGATTGAAGAGAAAGCTTCTTGATGAACATTCATCTACTTCGGAAAGGCGTACAAGCGATTCTAGAGATCATGAAAGTCAAAGATCACCAATCCATCGCCGTACCCTCTCTGATGACCGAAACGGCAATCGTTCAAGAGAAGGTCCCGGGCGTCCGTATTTCACCCCACGGGTCACTCGTAGCCAAGCCGGAGCAAGAGGTGCTCCTGCATATGGGCGAGGCAAATCGGGAAATGCGCAACAACAAGCACGCGCAAGGAGTCCCATTGAGCAGCCCACTACGGCTCAACCCAAAGCACCGAGTTAAAAAGGGGCCGAAAGTAGCCTAAATAAAAGAAAGTGCGAAAAGTTTAATGGCACGAATCGCACCAAGAATGGCACCAGCTGCCGCCAAATTGGGCACAGCAAGCCAGACCGAAAATGTGCAGATTGTATCTCTGTCGTCCAATAGCGACATCGGTTAAATAAAAATTATGCTGGTCGTGCAACAAAAGACTCATGACCTGATGAATGACAGGTTACGTAATCGAGAAATTATAATTGAGAAATATTGAAGTACTCTTTTCATACCAGTTTTATTGTTTCACCCGTGTATCGTGTCTTACGAAATCATGAAAATGTGGCAGTACCGACCTCTTTCCATTTTCAAAGTCTATAGTCTTTCTTTTCTGCTTCGCCTATTTATTGTACGTTATATTTCACTATTTTTTCTCGTCTATTTTTAGTGTATATGATATTCATTCTTATTATTATTGAAGTGCCTTTTTTTCCCATTATTTTATTGTTTCTTGTTTTCGTCTAATTATCATGCTTTAGAGTTAGTTGGGGGAGTTTGATAATTTTTTTTACAAATCCTCAAATAACATCCACTGAAAGTATTAAGAGTTTTGAAGACCTGAATTTTTAACAGGAATAACCACTGATAACGCAAATAGCAATAAAGCTTTCCTCATTAAAAGAACCGTTTTGAAATTTTCTATGAATTTTTAGTTCGTACATTGAATAAATTCAACTTACAAACAAATTTTAAAGTCGTGTGAGTGAGAGGAAGGTAATATTAATATGTTACTCTTACTCATCCACGCATTTTGAATCACACCAAAATAAATATCTCTTGAAATAAATTATACAAACAAAATTATATGTGTTCCCCCCTGATGTGTCTTTATCAATGTTCGATTCCAATGTTGCCTTGATTTTATTACAATTAGTGCCTAAGTAACGTTTTATTGTTTTTACTATTGGTGTATATATTAATTGTGTAAAAATCTATCAATTGCTGTTTTGTGACGTAATATTACTTATATTACTGATTATCTTACATCCAACAGTTTTTTTGACTTTACATCTTATATTGACATTTCAATTTTATTGGGACCTTTGTGCTTTATTGACATAATAATTCCATCATCATATTGCAAGAGAATTTAGGACTTATGCAATTATCGGTTTTAAAATTTTCGCATGTGGGCAAGTGTAACAAATTAACCAATAATTTTGGATGGATTATATCAATGCTAAATATAATTTCTGACGTCATAAAATATTATAAATTCTAGAGAGTTCTAGCAAAAGAATTCGACCCAAATATTGCACGCAAGTGAATAATTCTCATGTGATATGATGAATCACCCCTATTTTACATGGATTATGCTAGAGGTATCGAGCAAAGACTGTTTGAAGTGTGAAACCTTATAAATATGATCTCATCAAACAAAAGAAACAGCTAACCTTAAGAGATAGAAGTGTGATTTGTTTATGCTGATTTAAATTGTTGTAATAGATTGTCGAAAGAAATAAAATTGTACAGGTAAACCTTTCTGATCCTTGGCTGTTATATCAAATTAACAGAGATCTCAAACTCAACTGAACAAGTAACCTTTACTATATTCTGTTTGGAGTCAGAAAACAAACTTACGCTTCAGTACTAAGTGATTTCTTAGTAAAAGCTTTTTTTTGAAAAATTAGAATAATTGGGATAGCAAAATCAGTTGTGGTTCTTTAATAAAATCTGTCAAAGGCCTAGGAACCTGTGTCTTGGTCCTGTTAAAGAGAGTGTTGGATGAAACAGCTCGTCTTTTTTTGTAATCAAATTTTGTCTGAAAACATGGCGGGTAGGGTGTCTGAGGTATGGGCCTGCCAATACAGCAATATCGTGTCGGTACTCGGTAGTCGTGTTAATCAATATAAACGGAAATAGTGACCTAGGAAAATGGAGTGTATAATAAGAATGTCTTTATTTTTTGCCATTCTTTCGTGTTTCTGCAATGTAATGTATATCTCCTGCCAAATCAGATGACCTGCCTGGATCATCACAGATGGTCGTTTCCCCAGAAATTATACGGCATTGCCAAAAGCCCCCGTCCAAGAGTACAACTCTTGCAAAGGTAGATAGAAAAGAATTTAATTAAGAAGAAACAATTAAGAAAAAAAGTAAAGCAAGGTAAAAAAGCGGGAAGACAGGAATAATCATATAATTCGTCAACAGTGATTTAACAGTAGCATTGTTAGACAGCTCGGAAATAATGTTGTCTGCTGTTGAAAAGATCCAGCACTCCCTAGAGACAGAGCAGTGACATACAAATTTATGGGGACTGTGAATGCAAATGAGACAAAGCTGTGCTGCAAATTTCCAGGATATATATGAATTCTGGCTATTCTATGATTGATGATAATTTGGTTACATATTACCTATGCCTTATTTAAAAAACAGCTTTACTGATTGTAGAAACTGTGTCTACTCATGGGGTTTGGGATTGAGTAAAATTGTATAACACAATAAGCACTGGGTTCTAGTTTTTTGATGGTGGCCCATACCTGACACTGCCTGGCACATGCCTCAAATGATAAATTTTTTTTGTGTAAATTACATTTTTGTGGAAAAATACTTTTTTTTTCCAAAACTAGTTCTGAAAACTCCAAAACAATGCTGGGAATAGTTAGCTGTTTTGTTAGACATTCAGTGGGTAAAAGAGTGAATATTTAGTTCAAAGGGCCAAAGCGGTGTGGCCCCCCAAAGTTTGGTGGCCCATACCTCTCCACTTTCCCCTACTAGTGATTGTTTTATATTCTACTCTATTGAAATGAAAATGGTCTAATGAAGTAGCTGTTGTTTCAGTGACGCGTGTCGGTTTGTTAATGCCACAAAGTAAACCACAAGAGTGGATGCTATGCACATACCTGGTGACATTATTGTCCATTTGATATTTCATCAAATCAACGTTAAAATCTCCAATAATATATGTACAATTTCCACTGGAATTCACTAAATTTGAAGCTTGTATAAATTTATCTATAAAAACATTTATATGATGGGTGCCTATAATTATATGACTGCAATAATAAGATTTTCGGCATTGCAGTTAATTTCAGACTGATTGATTTCAATCCATAACTCCTCGCATCCCACTAAATTTAAGCTAACATCATCACGTATGTGGTATTTGATACATTCTAAAATATATAAACCTACTCCTGCTTTAGTAAGCCGGAATCTTTACGTATAAAATAATATCCCATAATGGGAACATCTAGAGAGGCCTCTCCCAGTTTGGTTATGTCAGCTCCCTATTATGTCAGGCAATCTTTTACTGGGACCTATTAAATACTCAATTTGTAGACTATTTTTTGTAAGCTCCCTACATTAAAATGGAGTTCGGCAATTTCTCAGCAACTTCATTCGGATTAATATAATCGCCTCAAGTAACCAAATCATCTACATCATTTAATTTTGAGGTGGGATAGCATTGGTATCCTATTGCAGCCATTACTGGTAGACTGTTTACTAGGCATAGATTACAATAATAGGGTGAGCTAGATATTATCAACAAATGGAAGCTTTCTTGGGTTAGTTTAGAGCAGGTAAAATGAAAAAAAAAAAAAAAATAAAAAAAAAAAATAAAAAAATAAAACGTAGATTGCAAGAAATATGATTGACATCATCTGTGACTAGAGTATGACATTCTTTACACTTTTTAAAAAGTGACATACACCAATTCCATAAATTAGTAGAAAATTTGGTAAAACTTATATCTTGCCTAATTGAACTGCAGAAAGTGTAGAACATATTTTGAAGTTTTTAAAATTGCATGAGAAGGTACAATTACGGCTCAAAATAATTGTTTTTTCTTCAGCTTGATAATTGATGATTTTCTGCCTAATTTTCTTCAGTTTTGTAACATAAGCTCTCCTGATGGGAATTTGCCTTGTGTTGTCACTTCGTGACAATTTCTCGACTTTATTTTAATTATTTGATATATTTCAATTATTCTATTTGCCTCAAAAATTGAGACGTCACTTTGGGGGTAGGGCCCAATAATTTGGCAGTTGATAGTTGCTTGTTGTTCTTTCGCAGCACTTCAAGAGTTCTCGTCACGGAGTGACATAAGTATGCCATTTTTTGAAAATATTATTTTTCTGTTCGCGTAGTACTATAATATTGGGTTTAAACTGCAAATTCTTCCGCACTGCACTCTACTTACTTTGGATCTTACCCACAATGAAAATTGAATGACATGATTGATTGGCAATGGCAACTTTTTTAAAACTATCGACTCGATGACCAAAATATTTGACCTAACATGTGCCGGTTTTGAACAATATGAACGAACCTATTGTAGACTGCCTTTGGAAAAATATGTAATATGGCAAAATGCATTGTTTTGCAATATAATTAGACATTTTTGTAAAAGGAGTAAGTGAATTCAAATAATTCACAAACAATATTACATCTGGATTTTGGTTTATATCCATTTATCGGGTTGACTCATAGGATGGTAAAAATATTGTGAAATGTAAAAGAAATATGTGTTTGTCAAAAATTGAAGATAGTTCCAATTAGAAAACGCCAGTGCGTCACTCATTGTCACCAATAATTATTTTTCCGTGCCAACTATATCATAAAACTGGAAAAAGCAAAAATGATACAATAACGTGTTTTCGCAGGGACATATTTATCACTGTCTTCTTGTTCTGAATATGCAGACTAAGAATACTGTGTTTGGGGCCTACCGTTTCTATGTGTGCTTTGCAAGCAGAAACAAGTACTACCTAACAAGAGAGACTTCAATGCAAAAGAAAATGCTTTTCTATGGTTAATAAATTAGATATCCAAATAACAAAAATCGTTGCATGATGCAAAGATTCTTAAACTGAATTGCATTAACGAATCCTCCAGATTCGGAATTTTGAATTGCCCATTCTTTGTCAAATCACTACAATAAGATACCAGATATATAGGGTGGAATAGTTATGTCTGTTTCATGTTGTCTGTGCAACATAGCTTTTTTACTTAACTATATAGATTATTAAAGTTAGTGCACTCGTGTAGCATATTTATATGAGGGAGACACAAGCAGAATGACAAAAAAATATAATGTTTCCCAATTTTTTGTTTAAATGCTTTGTAATTTCAAACAAATAACCAATTTTGATCTAATATAACTGATTGTTCAACATTCTTAATACCATTTTAATGATAAGGAATTTTTTCGTGCTACTAGTTGGCCGTATAATTGGGCTGCTTCCTAAAAAAAGTTTGTTGTACAATAAATTTTGCATAAATGTAGAGATTAATATCTCTAGAATACAGAGAGGGAGTGGTCACTTTTTTGTGGCTTTGGGGCCAGGCCACGGAGAAATTGGGGCCGGGCCACAAACGATTTTACAAAAATTGAGGTCGCGGAAAAAAAAGTTTGGGAACCACCGCCGTAAAGTGTCCGTAATCAGCCTATAAAAATATTCAACTTACGAGCCATTTTTTCATCCTTGAATGTATTCTGGATCAAAATGTAATCAGACAATGAATCGACAATGAATTTCATCAATTCCATTATGTCCGAGTCCACACTATAATCAGTGGAAAGTTGCAGATGCCGTAGCTTGTAGCATGGCTTGATCTCTGAAAATTAAGTTAGTGTTACCCAATGTATAGTACATGATTGTCTTCCAGATGATAAACGTGAACGAATGGCCTATACTAATTACCAGAATATAAATTTTTCATTAATATTATTTACCGTATTTTCCGACGAATAAGTCTACCCGGCGAATAAGACGAGGCCTGTTTTTAAGCCTGAAAAAATGGGTTTTTGCATATAATCGGTTAATAAGTCGGAGTAGTAAAATCGCATCAACGTCGGGAATCTTAAATTACCATGCAATGCCTTTCGAGCAGTCGCCGCGTTTGCGCATTGGTTAAAATAGCCTATAATGATTTTTTTTTGTAGCGTAATATTCAATCCATATATGATAATGCAAATATGATAAGCATTGAAATTCCAGATTCACAGCACGAGAATGTAGATTTATTTAAACTAACCAGATGAGGACGTAGTGGATGCTATCGCCGAAGGTATTTTATTGTCCGGATTCAATAATAAGGCGACAAAAAAATGAAAATGATCATACTCGCCTAATGAGACGACCCCCCCCCCAAATCAGGCCAAAAATTTGGGTCTAGAAAAGCGACTTATTCGCCGGAAAATACGATATTAACCACATGATGTTGTACTAGGTAATTATTCAACCGATATATCTAGCTATTGTGCAATATTTTATGGCACAGATATGCAAGGAGCTACTATCAAACTATAAAACAAAAATACCTGTTTTGGGCATTGAAACATTGAGATGCTTGAAATGACACAGTGTATGATTGCGTAAAAGAGGGAATTGAAGCAGGTGAATTTTCCAGTCCATTGTCATGGGGCCTATTATAAAAATGGTATATATTATTAAACTTACAATGGTAATGTAATACTGACACTTGACAGAATATCTAATCAGTAATAATTATTTAGAATGACCGGAAAAAAATGGATATTACACAAAATATGTCCAAATATTTGTAAAGAATGTGTCGTACAATACTTCATGCTTTTAGAGTCGCTGGGCATTGCACAGTTGCATGCACATTTGGCAGTCATTGTACAGAGATGGGCTTCGCCCAGTCGCCCGAATCTTTTTTGCTAGCGGTCTACTTTCCAATTCACTTTAAAATATAATAACACTTAATTGAGGTTGGTTGGGTAAGCTTACATAGCATAGGCCTATACACTGAAAATAAATCATATTAATATATACCCAATATAATTCCATTGAATTTTAAAACAAAATAGATATTATTCAGAAATCAGTAATTTATTTCTCAACAAAGCTGAAAATATGAACTAGAGCAAGAGTTGGGCAAAGTTCTCGGACCGCGAGCAAAAATTTTGCGCACCTAGACTGGCGGGCCATGTCGCATCTCGCATGTGTGGCGTAAAAAGTTTTACTTCAGAAACAAAATTTTATTTAAAGTGTTATAAAAACAAAAAGATTACTGGATTAAGTCGTCCAACGGGTTGGATTTGGGCTGCGGAAATGTTTGCACTTAGACAAATAAAGTAAATATAAAAAATCATATCTAGGGATGAAGGACCAATACCGGTACCGTACTCGATAACAAATACTGGTAAATAAGAGATGGCAACCTCAGAAAGTTTAACAAAAAATGCCAAAAGACCAAGTACGGTAACGTAACTCATCTCGTTCTGTCGTTACCGGTACCTACGGTGTCCAGGGATATATACCGGTATGGAACTTTTACCGGTAGTCTACTCGATAACGAATACTGGTAAATGAGAGATGGCAGCCTAAGAAAGTTTAACAAAAAAATGCCAAAAGACCAAGTACCGGTAGTACAGTACCGGTACCGTACCTCATCTCGTTCTGTCGTTACCGGTACCTACCGGTACGGTGTCCAGGGATAAATAGGTACAGAAATATGTGACTTTTACCGGTATGGTACCGGTACCGGTACCGTATCACCCTTATGAACCGTGATCTGACAACGCACTTAGGGTACCGGTACCGGTACGGTACCATGAGATTAACTTACACGGTTACAACTATCTCTACTTTCGCCATTCATACTATGATAGCATTAAAAGTTCAATTTCACTGTCCCATCCACGGCAAAAACCTCGCAACAGGATATCGATTACGAAATACGAGTACCGCCTCAAAGCCCATATATACCTAAGTTGCGCAACAATGGAAATTGGCCGCCATTTTCGATCAACATCGCCTGCGAGGTTACGGCAGTTCTGCGTGATCCGCGGCTAGGCTGGTGCCTTCTGCTATAGAATTAAAGACCGTTCGGCTCTTAATTGCAGCGGGAATAGCAAAACAGTGCAACTATTGAAGGTTTTATCAGATGCAGAGAAGGAGGAAATGGGAAAATAATTGTAGGCGACGTAAAGGCTGGAAATCTGGCCCAGGCAGTTCCTTGTGTGAGGTTAGTCAAACGAATGGCCTAATGTCAAACTAACACCAGGAAAGATAGGTTGTACACAGTTTTAGGATGATGTCATATTTAATTATTTATGTCACGTTGCCGATTCGACTAATTTAAGTTAGCTCTGACCCCAGGAAAGTTGAGAGTTAAATTAGTAAGATTTTCTAAATGCTGGCTTCAGGTGTCAGGTTAGGGAAACTGTTTTCAAATCTTCCTAAGTAATGCAAAGTCAGAACATTGCATTGAATGTTTCAGATTCATTGTCACGATTGTTTAAAGCACTGCGGTAACAAAAATTCATAGTAATTAGCAGCATTATGAGTAGACAATTCGGTGCTTAGTGGAAATAATGAATTTCTGAACTGAATGCGTGTTTCGTTAAGTCACTGTAAATTATATTTTGTGTTAAAAATGGGATGCTGAATGCTTGTTATTTCGAAAGTACGTTCATTGTGTAACCTACAACTCATTTCTTTTTCAGACTCATTTTTGAAGAATACCAATTTGATCCGAAGAGTACAGATAAATGGAAAAAATCTAAATAAAAGGGGATGACAATATTCGATGTGCCAAATCCACCAAATAATTCAAATCATCAAGACCTGAATTAACTAAAATATTGACTGACATGAAGTTTCAAAAAATAACAATAGCCCTACAGACAGTCCAGACTGGATTCCATGGCAGGTGCACGCCCGAGGGCGCTAGCGCTCCGCAAAAATGCACGCGAGCGAAATCAATTTTGCACGCCGAAAATTTGCAATTGCTCACCAATGTAAATCGGTTTAAATGGTTTTAAAATCAATAATCCAGTAATATAAAGATGCCAAAATATTATAACTCCACAATTGTCGACAAATACCAGCCTGCAAGATTTGGTCTGATCGAAATATTGCGAAGCAAAAAGACCATGGACCTTTCCCCAACCTTTGACCCGCGAAAAATTCCTCTCATTGTTACGTCCTTTTTTGCATCTTGCTGATTGGCCAATGTCACGAAGTAAACAAGGAAGTCGATGCTCGGGGAAAGATCCATATCGTGTTGAATGATAGGAAATAGGAATCCCGTGAGAATAGTTATGGACGAAAAGATCGCCTCCGCACCAATGGCCAAGTACGGCTCTGATTCAGCGTATTTTTCATACAATAATTTTACACGAATGTACTGAACAGTACCGGTATCTAAAGTTGCTCAAACACTCCCAAAATTAGTGACAAAGTATGAAAATAATGTTTGGGGTCAAAGGTCAAACGTCAATTTTGCTCTAATTTGACGTATTTTTTATCCATTAATTCTACGTAAAAACACTACCAAATTTAATGACAAAGTATGTCCATTTTGCTCTGGTTCAACGTATTTTTTATCCAATAATTTTACGCGGATGTACTGAACAGTACCGGTATCCAAAGTCGCACAAACACTCTCAAAATTAGCGACAAACTGTAGAAATAATGTTTGGGGTCAAAGGTCAAACGTCCATTTTTTCTCTGATTCAACGTATTTTTTATCCGATACCGGTTATTTTACGCGGATGTATTGAGAGGTATCTGATGTCAAAGTCAGTTGCACGCGAGTGCAGTTGTTTTGCACGTCGTGAGCTATAATTGCACGCCAGGAATTCTTATTTGCACGCGGGAATTTCTGATTGCACGCCCGATTTCTCGTTCAAAAAGGCCATGAAATCCAGACTAACCTACAGTGAGTTGTGAATGCTAAAGTAAACTCTAATTGCCAGTTTGAATGTTTGTAAATCATTTCTTAAACGTTTTAGGTTTGATTGAAACATCCGACTCCAGGACGAACCAGTTGTGTCTTAAACTTATATTGTTGGGTCATATAAAAAAGCACAAAAATGTGAAAATTGGGGGGGGGGGATTTCCCTCTGATCGTTTTTTGCGATATGAAACAACATAACACTTTCATTATAACACGGGGGTGCCATTTTTTGCGTTTTTAATCATCCACTCATATGTAGTCGCCATCCCTTGGCTGACATGGGCAGCTCGTGATGGAACTAAGATGAGGAAGGTCAGAATAAAATATGGGCCTAACCGTCACTTGGTACAAATACTGCTGAAGTTTCAATTATTGTACCTTTTTCATGTCTTTGGTATTTAATTGTTAAAATTTTAATCGTTGATCAATCGAATAGCACTTCTTTTCTATGTCTTTCATATTAAGGTATTTACATACTATTCTTGATCAATTAAATGGTCCATTTCTCATGTCTTTGTTATTTGATAAGTATTATTTCTTTTTATTGGTTAATCAAATTATTTCCAAATTGATCTGGACTATTAGTTTATTTGTAATGGTTTCATGAATCATACTGTAACACCAAGGATTTAAACAAAAATGTTCACTATTCCTATGATGATCATTGCTCGCTTTGTTTTGTAGACACGATTCCCATAATGTGAATTATTGAATTTTCCTATTGATTGATCCTGTGTGTGAGTCAGAAACATTCTCAAAACCCCACCTGCTAAACCTTATTGATAAGTACATTATAAGTATTAACATTTTTGGAGTGCAAGTTCGCAAAAATTCCAAACATATATAAAAAGTTCATGCATTTTTTAAACATTTTCAGATTATGACAAACCTATGAATAGAATTCCTCTCTCCCTTTCCACTGTGTTACTTATTTAATACTGTGTAATGTGTATGTCCAATGAGTTGCACTTTATTTTATTTATTATTTTTCACGTTCAGACACATTCTCATCACATTTATTTTTTTGTCCCTGATCCACTTTGTATATATAGCCAATTTATTTATTTTTTTCTGATTATTATCGTCCAAACCCCATTGAATTTAGTTATCAGTTAAGTATAATTTTCCATCACATCCCCTCATTTTGTTCACAAATTTATTGTAAAAATATTATCGTAATAGTTCAAGTTTTGCCACTAGTCATTTTTCAGTGTTAATATTAATCACTTCAGCGTATATCGCCGGATGAGAACAGAAGGGGCCTAGGTCACATTTTTGGAAAATTAACTTTTTTCAATATTATGGGGTTTTGAGCCAGCTAAAATTTTTATTATTTGAGAAATTGTAGGCTCTACAAGGTGGTGGTCTTGAAATCCTGAATTTTTCAATAATAAATGTAAATAAATACAATGTAGAGCATGGCTCGAAATTGAAGCTGAAGTGCCAAAAAATATTGATTACAAAGATATTCTCATGCACATCAAAATAACCAGAGCTCAGGTCTTTACTAAGTGTGAATATCTAGCTAGATATTCAAAAATGGAAAAAATCCAAATTGTTTTTGGCGTTTTTCTCAAAATTGTGGTTGTGGCTATTTTATTGATGACTGTATTTTTTGGTTGACAAAATAATGAAATCTTTCTCTCATTGTACTACCATGTGTAAGGACGTTTACAATTCAGTTATGCAGCTGGAGTGTCTAAAAAAGGCGAATTTCTAATGTAACATTGACATCAATATTTAGCTACAGTCCCAGTTGACGTCGCCTTCACTGTCGAAAAATTTAGTTCGTGTTAGTCATTTAGGCCTGTTGTACTGTGAAACTGTGTGTGTCTACTATTCTAATGGGAAAGTCAACATGGAGGTTTTGTTGCGCCATCAGGGTGCCTTGGTTGTCAGCAAATTCCGGGACGCCAGACGTCAAATCCGGATTGTACCGGCCATTCCCGAGACGGTTGGTAGCCCTAGCATAATCAGGTCCCGAAGAGTTTAAGATTTTGCCTACTTTCCCGAAGGCTATATGTGTGTGTGTTGACTTGCATTGCCTATATATTTGTTTTAGTGTTACGGAAAATCGAAATAAACTTTACTTTACTAACCGTGCGTTGCGTCTATATTATGTTTGTTACCAAGCGGCGTGGATTCCTAATGTGAGTGCTCGTATTGAGTTCGATAATGATTGAGACATCCTATCGGATTTCTGCGCCCTCGGAATATAACTAATGATTTAAATCTGCCCCAATAGCCTTTGAAAACTACTAAAATTAGGCTTGTTTGCTTTACACTACTCGAGCCAAATGATCGAAAATGGCGTCCATATGACGCCATAATGGGACAAGTTAGTGACACGGGGTTGTACCGCCTAAATGAATGGCGACCTCATGTGCTATATTCGAATCGCGCGCCCATTTCATCGCGTAATGGCGTGTTTCGTTGAATGCCAATCATGGCCTTACCATGGTAAATGGTTGTAAAACCGCGTACAACGGTTGCCGGCGGATTATAACGTTGGCCCAACGTAGTTGTGCTATCTGGGTGGATACTGCCACAACCAAACTGGAACCAAATTTTGATGTTTTAGTTAAAAAACAGCCCAAGGAATTTGTTGAGATTGCGGTTAAATTTTGTTTTGGCACGAGGTTTATTAATTTCCACTTCTGCTTTTGTAACACTGTAAACATTGTTCATAAAATATGACTCTTAACGTCATACTCGCATGGCCCGCCAGTCTAGTTGGGCAAAATTTTTGGCCCTTGATCCAAGGCCGGAGTTGGACACTATGCAATATATAACAATCTTTGGACTAAAGATATGATGAATAGCAAGCATATCTTATTACAAACACTTCCAAAATAAAAAAAATCTTAATAAGAAAGTCTTGTAAATAGTGTATATAATGAATAAACGAGAGATATTGAATTATCTTACACCGTAACTGAGCGCCCGCGAAGCGTGGCCGGCCCTGTATTTTTCAGAATTGAATAAAAATAATTGAGTAAAGATGTGATACGAACGATTTGTTTATTTTCCTGAAATGCGCTCTGCCGGCCCTTTCAAATGAGCCATGAGTGCCATTCTGAATCGAAACCAACTGGGAGGAGAAATCGATACATAAAGGTGCCATGGTCGCTTACACTCTTGGTCTTTTAAGATTTACATATTTATCCCAGGGGAGAAGGAAAGGCGATTTGACAGCTTAACCATATAGCGAACCACATCCTCTCGTCCGGTTAACATTCCATGTCGGGTAAGGGATTCGTCAGGTATTTGTTTTTCCGAAGCATGGACTTGATGGTGGAGGAAGCCGTAACCGGCCGTGAACCACCCAACGGCGGTGAGGAGTCCAGCAATCCTCTCGCACATAACCATCCCGCCTGGGATTCGAACCCACACACAGTAATTAGAGGTGCGGTGGCGAGCGTATTCCTAATGTTTAGCCTGATGAGCCACACCGCCTTTTACTACTCCATATGATGTTATCGCAAAACAATCGAAGGAATGTATATTATGTATTGTTCAGGTTGTCAATGTTTTACGTCCGGAGATAATTTTCATTGCAAAAACGGGAAAATTTTCATCGTATTCCTTGGCGAAAGCACTGACATCAAGTTTGTGTTTTTTTTTTGTGAATGCGTTGGTGAGTGGGCACATGATTAGGCTTACCATACGTCCCGTTTTAGGCGGGACAGTCCCGCTTTTTAGCGTCTTGTCCCGACAAGTCAGCCAAAAGTCCCGCTTTTGCGTTCAGCCATCCAGCAAAATACACGAACATGTTCTCGTTACTGTTGTTATTGTGTAGCGCAACACTAGCATACTTAATTAATTTTAATTAGTCCTGTTCGGACGTTCACGTGAATGCAACATTGAACCACGTTTTTTTTAAAGGTGTTATCTACAGAAAAGTATGCTTGTGCGAATAAATAAATTCTTTATGCTTGTAAACGGCAGACTACCGGTATTTTCATTATTCTTTATTCCTTTTGCTGTACATAAAAAAACGTCTATTCCTTCCTTTCCATTTTTCGAACTGAGCCCGATATTTAGAGAGAGAATATGCGCATGAACTCTCGATGACAATATGGTCAATGAAGACAGCCGGGATGGCTTAAATGTAGGCCTATGTAGTAAAATCGGAAACCGTAAAGTGACAGGAAAAATAAAAGGAAAAATACAGGAAAAAATAGGTCATATTTCACCCCTCATGTAGCCACGGAGTTTGAAAAAAGATCACTGAAATATAGCGGTGTCCAGGTCTGGGGCACTGTACCACCTGACATCAAAAATTGTTCAGCATATACTTTCAATAAAAATATGAAAAAATATTGTTATCCAAGTACCCTGATCCATATACTTCTGTTTAATATACTGTAATTGCCGTTTTATGCTGCTAAAAGTTATTGTGTAATAAATGATGAACTGCATATTAATTGCATATCTAGTTGGGCATACTTAATTGTGGAACACGCATTAATATTCCATTTCTATTTCAAGTATTTATGAATGTTGGTGATTGTCACTGTGTTTTCCAAGCTTCCATCAAAGGCCATCTCGTAAATTAATTTAATATCCTTTTCATATTGTTAAAAATCACTGTATAAGAAGTGATGAATTGAACATTTAATTGTGGATCATACATTGATACTCCATTTCTAATTCAAGTATTTATAAATCGTTATGAATGTTGGTAGCCACTATACAGTATTCAGTGATTGTCACTGTGTTTTTTTCCATGCTTTCTTTTCATAAATTAATTTACCTACCGGTAATAACCTTTTTATATTGTTGAAATTCATTTTGTAACTAATGAACAGCATATATAATTGGGGGCCATACATTAATATTCTAGTTCTATTTCAAGTACCCTTGGTATGAATACTTGTGAATGTTGTTAGCCTCTTTGTAAATTAATTTATTAACCTATTTACATGTTAAACTAATTATATAATAAGTGATGAACTGCATTATCAATAGCATATTTAATTGTGAATCATACATTGATACTCCATTTCTAATTCATATTTTTATAAATCTTTATGAATGTTGGTAGCCACCATACAGTATTCAGTGATTGTCACTGTGTTTATCCATGCTTTCATTCCGTAAATTAATTTACCTAATAACCTTTTTATATTGTTAAGATTCATTTTGTAACAAATGAACTGCATATATAATTGTGGGCCATACATTAATATTCTAGTTCTCTTTCAAGTACCCTTGGTATGAATATTTGTAAATGTTGTTAGCCTCTTTGTAAATTAATTAATGACCTGAACCCCCAGGTTGCAGCAGTGCTTTATTCTACGCCTATGTGGAACCCGGTTAACTTAAGCCTAACAAACAAATAATTCTTGCATGCTGAAACATTTGAAGGAAACGTAGTTATGTCAATTTTTCGTCACTTGGCGAGTCTTCCGCAGAAGAAATAAATTACTAAACTTTTAAATAGCATTCCTGTCTCAAAGCTGTAGAGCCAGGATAAAATTTAGCACCACTTCCGAATTGATTCTATACTTTTTCCATTTCTTGAATGTCAGTACATTTTAGCGGTCATTTGAACAAATGAATATTGGTTATTTTTGCAATACAAATTTTCAAAATAATAAAATGTTAAAAATGTAGAAGCCTGCGGCCCGGAACTTGCCAGGGATAGGTTTTCAGCTGAAGTGTTTTCATTCTAAGTAGGATGTGGGTTCTATAATTTAAGTCTGTTTGTTGTTATGCTGAGGTTTTAGGAGAAAAATATCAGATTCAATTGGTGTTGTAGACCAGGGTCGTCGGCCCGCGGGCCATATCTAGAAGCATTTCTAGGTGTTTGCAAAAATAGCCTGTCAAGACAGACCATAACTCGTCGTGTTGAAGACCTTGGGAACTGTATTGCGGGAATTTTAATTGCAAAAGCAGGAAATTTTTTATTGTATTCCTTGACGCTGACATTAAGTTTACTGCTCAGTTGGTTACCCGCTATCTTCTTGCGGGTGGTTAATGATGATATAAAATTATCGTGGAGACCGCAGCCATTGCCCCTGTTAAGGGTACGACTGGAGGCATTGATTTTTTGAGAGCTGTCATAAATATGATCAAGCGTCTTCTTGTCTTTGGCTAAACTTTCGGGAATAACCACTGATGGCGCCCCGTTGGTCCAGTATTCGAAGAGAAAAGTGACTTTTTAAAAACGTGTCAAAGAACAAGAACAACATAATA